TCAGCAGAGGGCAGCATGTCGCACAGCTAGCAAGAGGAACCATTGCAAAAGATTTTCTGACGTTGAAACTGAAAGTCAAGGCTAGAACGAAGAACGAAAAGTTGCCCATGCTGGTACATCGACAAGAACATAGATCTTCACGAAAGCTTCTCTGGGCTAGCAAGGTCCCTATTCGATCCCTTCCGTCATCGAGGTCTCTATGGATTCCACCGCCGAGGCTCGGGTACACGATGATACACTGATGTCTCGCGATACGGCTTGCGCCTGGAGTTCCATGGTACAGTATGTGACAGTTTGTGAGGATCCTAAGACTCCTTGTTTATACCGACTCAAATCCCTGGAGATCCTGAAATGCAGATCCGAGATCCTCTTGTTCGAGGCCAGGCTGGGACGTGGGAGAGGCGAGTTGAGTCTGGGCAGGATATGTCTACATGCCTGGCCCAAGAGCAGCGCTTGCCGCTTGATGCCAAGAACAGGCAGGGGTGCGAGGGTGAATGTACAGGATCTGGCTAGCGTTCGGCTCGCCAGGAAGAATATCCCTCACGGGAAGAAGGATCTTCCAAAGGCGCACCTTCCCAAACTCTGAGCGCAAAGCATGTCTAGCACCCAATTTTGGACCGGTGCTTGTCCTTAAAGGCGAGCCCGGTCGTTTTAAGAACGTTAACAGGTTCAGCCGACTTATGCCTGGCTGAACCGATAACTGTAGAGGCTGCACATGGCTGCACATGGCTGCATGTCGGTGTGTCTGAAGAGGCTTCCAGTTAAAAAGAAGAGGTCGGCTCTCGCTTTGCGACTTTTGAGCTAGAAGTGCACTCATGCAAAGCTTGGCACGACAGTGGCCAACGACTTCCAGCTGGCATACGCCGAGTCTTATTTGATGCTTCGTACTCAGCGTAACCCCCAATCCGGCTCTGAAGCGTCATGTGAAGGAGCCGTGCAGGAACCCCGCTTCCTCTGCCACGACCTCCATGGGAGGCAGGGACACGAAGGGCTCTCGAGTTCCCTTGCGCGAGTGTAGTATGCTTCGGCTGTTGCTGTAGTGAGCGGTGTGCATGAAATGTCATTTTGCCGGCGTCCTTGCTGAGCTTGCAATTCCCATCGATGCATGTTTGTCTGCAGATTCTCCATGGTCTGAATGGTGTTCACGAGTTTCACCTCAGCTTTCCAGAACATGATTGGACTTTCTTGCATGGTCACGGCACTGCTTTGAATATGGAAGAGCATGAAGCTGAGTCGGTCCATCAGGCCTTGGGCTTTCAGCCACAATAGATTTTCCTGGCTTTCCAATACTCACACAACTTTAACCAGCATCTCAAATTGTTTTCAATAAGGTTCAATAAGGAGTATGTAGCGGCATGTGGATGTGCTATGCTGTCAGCTGAGAGAATGACGCGTGGTGTTCTTTATTTGGCAGCCTTTAGTCCAAGAGCAGAGGTGCAGCTTCAGGCAGAGTCTCAACTCCAGCTGTCATTCGGAACAATCCATCTTGACGGCACCTTCCACTTTAGCCAGCTGCCTCAACTGCTCACCCGCCATGCCGCCTAACATCACCATTCCAGCAAGCTTGACACTTGGTGTGCAAAGCCAGGTTGAAAATTCATTGAAGATGTGTTGCTTGTTGGGCCAGCCATTCGCAATGTGTAGGTCATCGAGAGGTCTAAATTCAGGTCATTGCTGTCCGTTGCGGCTGCATTCCGTGTGGAAAGATTTGGCTGCTTCAGCGCTTTTTGACGAAGCCTGAATCCTGCCATTGCAGTCTGCAGCCTTCCACGGGTCCAAATGCTGAAGCAGACCAGTCAGTCAGTGCAACTTGCAACAGCAGAATGCTCAGAAGAATGAAGATTCCAGGAAATCCAGAGACGTGCCACAGAAAGTTTGTGCCCATGCTCCAGGATGTTCGAAGTCGTCTGTGCAGACACTGCCCCTGGAGAGACTGTGGCTGTTGTCGGATCCTGTCCAGAGACACACGGCTGCAGTTGGCAATCCGTGGAGGGTGCCCAACACTGGGATAAAATGCAGCATGACGAAGGTTGCAATCGCTGTTGCATTCATCTCCTTCCGTCGGCAGCGAGGGCGGAACACTCGCAGTCTTCTGTCCCAAGTCCTGCCAAAGGCTCGGCGAGTGGGATCCCAAAAAGGGTCTGGAACTCGCGACGGAGGCACCGCAGTTGGGAGGGGACCAACAGCTCGCAGGAAGAGTTTGACGAAGATTTCTGACGGCGGATCTGCGAATCTGCGCATCTCAGCCTCGGCAGGCGCGCGTCTTCCCCAGCTGGTTCTCGCCGGCCGCCTGGGCCCTGGCCCTTGCCAGTCTGAAAGAGTGCCCAAAGCCTCGAGAGAGAAGGCGGAGGGCCGAAGGCAGAGGGCCGAGGGCAGAGGGCCAAAGCTTCATCGCTCGGATGTGCTCGGCTCCGCGAGTGAACTGGAAGCTGAGATTCCCATCCACCCGGACAAGATTTTCTTCAAGATGCTTGGCGAGAATGGCTTATTTCATATTTTAGGTGGGACAGGCTGTCACGAAAGCAGCTTCATCCAACCTTTCCGTTGCCAGTGCGCATAGACACTCGCAAGAACTCGCAAGACAAGAGCTTTGTTTGAAGTTTGCACAATGCATGCCGTGCCCATCTGAACTTTCTTATCGGCAGCCATCGTCACAGCAACACTTCCGCTAAAGGGGCCACGTCAGGTTCAATGCAAGGCAATTTCTCCCAGGCAACCGACATCGACAGGTTCAGCGTTGCAAGCACTTGCCAGCTCGCAATCCAAGGGTCGTTATCACAGGCCCCAAGGGGGTTCGCTGGGAGGGTGGTGACAACAAGCCGGTGCCGCCTGCCTAAATTATTGGCTTGGGACGTTTTGGGTTGCCAAATGCGCCGCATCTCCATGTCACCCTGCGAGCCTGTCCGGGTGTGTTTTGCCCGAGGCAGCTCTACGAAGGGAAGCGGAGCAAGGTCAAGTGCTCCTTCGGCAGCGGCTCGGCGTCACAGACACTGGGGGTGGTACACGCTGTTACTGCTGAGCCGGTTGAGGGTCCACCAACACCTGTTACTTCATGTTTTCCCTCCGAGCACAAGAGCGCAGAAGTTTGAAGCCCAGCCATTGTTCGGAAAGGTGAGGATTTCATTGCTGCCACCAGTGTAGCTCCCAAAGACTCTCGGCATTCCAAAGGGGGTGGATTGACTCGGGCATGAAAGGGCATGCAGCGTTGCTAAGCCATCCATCAGTTCGCCTAAGCTCTGCCCCCAGCAACACTCGCCGCATGCAAGAAGTACTCTGCAGTCCAGAACTCCCTTCCAAAGGTTCTAATAGCTTTGTAGCCCTGCATTCCGCATACGAGTATCAACGGATCTGTTTTTCATTAATGGTTTGAAAGATCAAAAGTTTTGAGTAGGAATGCTAATGATTGACATCGTTGATAAGTTTATGCACGTGGTGGCAATTAAAGGCAAGAAAGAAGATTTATCACGTGGGATGATTGAATGCTTGCACAAGATGGGGATGAAGCCAACAAAAATATAAACCGACGACAGGGAGCAAGGAACAAGGAGGCAATAGAGAAGTATTTGCAGGAACAGAGCATAGAACATCACAGAATTAGGATAGTTAGGGCGCATCCAAATTTTAGCGAAAGAGCGTTCAGAACTTTAAAGATCTGTCATATCGTCGTGCTGAGGCGGATCAGAAAAAGGGCAAAGACAATATCCAGTGGGCAGACTATATTTTTGAAATATTAAGAACAAAATGAAACATTCGGCGACTGGCTTCACCCCAAAGGATGCCAGAAAACCAAGCGACGAATTAAGAGTTAAATCCCCTCTAAATATGAATGCTAAATGGAATCGGGTATATCCTGATTTATACATGAGAGTTATAATATTATAATGTTCTTGGAGAATCCGAGAAGATAAAGCGAATGCTTTGCCCTTAACCCTAAACCTTGAACCACATTCTACAAGGAACCCCTCGCCTTTTTTGAGCTATGGCACTTGGACAGGGGTACTGGAATATTCCTAGGACGGTAAACTCAGGTTGGGATAGGGGTTGTGGTATGGTGCGCTAGCTGTGCAGGATGCCCAAAACGGGAATGCTGTCCACTAACTGTATCGGTGTTGCAGTGTTGTGACAATGTGGAGGGTTTGCAAGACAAAGATGTCATCTTGTCCGGGCCATGCCCGGAAGCCTGGCCTGGCCAACACCCCTTAAAGCTCTTGCGAGGATATCGACAATCTCTCGCCGGCTCCTGAGCTCATCAATCGCCCGAAGCCCGTGGAGGAGAAAGTCAGATGTCGCGAGACATGTCATGTGCGTGCCATGGGGGAGAGCGACAGTGGCAATGGGAGAGTTCACAAGTCGCACTTGTTGTGCTCATCAAGCTGTCGTTGCGAGTAGAGGAGAAACCCATCGGCGGCTACATCGCGCAGGTGCCGTGTACCCTGCAGACTTTTGAAGGATAGACTGATAGACTCTCGTATGTGCCACAATGTGGGAGACTGGTTGGATCAGGAATTGATTGCGACTTGAAGAACTGGGAGCTTCTGATTGTCCTAAGCGATTGAAGGAAGATGCCGCCCAAGAGGAGCCTCTGAAAGAGGAGGTGGGAAGCAAAGCACAAGTTCCAATTTGTGCAGCGTTGCCCGTCATGATGGTATAAGAATCGCAGAGACTGTGAAGTGTAAGGGTGGAGTACGCGGCCTGAACCTGCCTCCGTCGTGTTTTGCTGCAATCACCAGCGTAGAAAGCAGAACACGCGGTCGAATGCCCCTCTGCACCAAAGGCATGGTACCTTCCAATACTTTGGGTAGGTGCCGCCCCGTTGAACTAGCTCTACTACCTTCGGCCGTGCTGTGACGTCACATGTGTCGTGAGAATTGACAGTAATAAAATGCGCAAGTCTACGCTTGGGCTCGCGGTCTCTAAAGCTATGCGGGCAAAGATAAACAGAGATGCGCAAGAAGAACAGATTTTAGTCTTCTGCCCCAGCCGAACCGCGCCGAAACATGATGGACCGTCAAGCACCGGCTCCAAATGGAGGCTCCTATGCCGCTTGGACAGACCCGAGTGAACACGTCACAAGCCTCCCTATGTGCATGGGCTTTGCGAGAAGTTCTTGACCCCGCAAGCGTGTTCAAAGCGGCCCTTGTGATGATCCTTCTCTGTGATCTAGTCAGACTCAGGAAGATGTCTTGGACATGCAGTTGAAGAGCCTGCACGAAACGTTGCTGCAACAACACAAGATAGAGAAGGAGCCCTGGCGATAATTCTTTCGAGGGTGAGGCCAGCTCACTTCACGGCTTTGCAACTCGTCTGTCGATGGCTGGGTGTACTCGCGAGACGCCCTGAACGGCCGTGCTAGTACCCCGACCAAGCCTGTGAATTCAGTTGGAACTCTCCAGTATCTTGAACTCAAGGAGCAGCTGCAAGCCATAGGCCGCCATAGGCCCCAAGCTCCAAGCCCTACTTTGTTGTGCCCGAAGGAGCGGCTTGACCAGTCCTGGCGCAACCGCCTCAGCAGCGAGCTCGGCGCGCGGGCTTGGAAGGAGCAATCGAGAGGTTGGAGAGGCAGACAACACTCCTTGCATGGAGGGTTCATGATGGTTCGGGTTGGGAGCAGAACTGTTCAAGGAGTCTCGGGAAGCGCTCGACGGCGATCACGAGGAGGCAGAGACTGCAGACTCCGATGGTCCCTCAGCTTGGCAGCTTTGGGCACCGTTTACGGGGCATCTCTCAGCGCCACTCTCGATGCCAATGGGAGATCCCGATGCGGCAGCCGGGGACGGTCCGGCGTCGGTCCCGTATCGGTGGGCTGACCTCACACTGAAACTGGCAAACCGCAGTGCGCAGACGTCGGAAAATGAGATGATTTCCAACACATCCGTGAATTGCAGCTTGGCGACTGGGATGCTATCAGCAAGAGCGGTAGTGCACCCGAGACCCAACTGTCAGGATCCTGACTAGGCTAGCTGAAATCTCAGGTGATGCATCAAGCGTGGACGATCCTGGGTCGTGATTAGCTGCACCTCTGGCCTTGCACTTCCGTGTGCGTTCACGGATGGTTGAATGTTTGGTGTCTGTGATCGGGCATGAATGAGAGAGTGGGGACATGCAGAAGGGAAGGGAATGGCGAGTGCACCCCGAGGATCTCAGTCCAGGAGGCCATGAAACGACACCAGACTCGGAACTACCACATGCCGGGGGCCGAGGCCAGGCCCGCACACGGGACTTTGCGAGCGGAGTGGCTCATATATGAAGCTTTCGGCTCGACTTGAAGACTGGTTGCAGTTGATCGGAGCATATCGGAGCAGATCTGGTACAATACGATCCTTTCGCACGGACTCACAGGAGTCGGCTTCCACGCTGAAGATGAACGAGGCAATCTTGGACTCTTCGTGTCTCCAGCGCCTCTAGATGGCAAGGAAGACTAAGATCGAGTGCATGAAACCTAAGAAAGCCAAAGCCCCATGCCCGGCAGTGCCCGGCAGCTCCAGCCCGGAGTTCGACTGCCGCGATTCCAGATCGTCTGCGTCTGCGCATCTCCAGGCTTCGTGATTGCTCCGGGCAGCACGGCCCAGCTCATGTTGTCGGCTCTTTGTAGCCTCCTCATCGTCTCTTGCCTTGAACTGGAGTGCGTGGATGCAGCTGCAATGCGGACTGACGGTCTTTTGTTTCTTTTGTGTCGGCCTGTCCCACTTCAGAACAGGTATGGGATCTGATTACAATTCCCTTAGAGCTGTTCGACTTGCCCTCGCTCTACGGCTTTCTGCTCACTTTTGGCAAGGACGGCAGGGGGTCCAGCGTCCAAGCAAGCCTTTCGAGTGTTCTCTGAGATTCTAGCTGCTCAGATTCCCTCTTGGCTAAATGCTTTAAACGGTTTGTACACTGCCAGGCCACTTTCGCATTCTGGACCCTGAACATACCACTGCAGTTCATACTCGGCGTGGAGCTGCAGGGCAAGATTGCATCCCGGCCAAGTCAGCGTGCTTCAGGACTTGTTCAGGTCAGGACATGTCAGGCAATCCAGAAATGTCGGGCCCGCTGCTACACTTCGCAGAACCGGAAGATCATTGGCGAAGCCTGATTTGGTTCAGCTCGCAGGATGCACGTCTCCTAAGCATCATGTCCCGGAGTTTCTATTCTGTCTGCTTGATGTCCTCACGTACCGTGATTCTTTCTAGGAGCTGATGTTTGGCTTCGATTGGTCTTGAATTGCTTGCATTGCAATGCAGACAAGCTCCTGGCGAGCTGAGGGCTCCGGCAAAAGGGGGTTTGGGGGTTGAAGGCATAGGGCGTTTAGTAAGGGTCCCAGCACGAACGCTGCTTCCTGAACGGCAAGCATGAACCCTACTTCTTTCTTAACCGCTGCTCTCAAGGAAGTTCGGCCAGCCGTGTTAGCGCGGCTTTACTTGCAAAGCTGGTTCGCAGCTCGCCGCTGAATCGTGGGTCAAGTGGCTTTAGTGATTCTGCTGATGATTTGATGATCTTCCGTCTGTTGTACCATTTTGTATGTACCTTACGACCTTCTATGTTTTTTGGAGATGTCATGCAGATCGTAGGATCGATGATGGAGCAGGGTGATATTTCGTCCAGCAGGCAATGGACGTGATTGTCGTGGCTCTTGATGCGGTGCTCATACTTCTGGAAGACCAAGAGGCAAGCTGCAAACTTGGTTTGCATCCCATGCAGTGAGACTGGGACTGCATCAGGCAGTGCTCTCTGCTGATGCAGCACACAGCGTCCTTCCACGCAGGCTGGCAGCCTGAAGTCGGCACGCTTCCTCCGCGCGCTCCGTCTGCTGCGCCTGGTGCGGCTCCTGCGCGTGCCTAGGAGGAAGTGTTGTCCTGTTCAAGCTCGGAGTTTCCCTGAAGGTGAGTTACAGTAACCTTGCATTGCCTTTGCCCAATGTTGGCAGCAGACTTTGAGTAGCCCCTTGAGTCTTCGAGGTGGCAAGGCTGCAGCACCAGCTCACCCTTCTGGCGAATCGCTTTCTCTCAGCAAACGCGTTCGTGGTCATGAAGGCATGGTCCGTCATGCCTCCCCAGTTTCTCAAGACGTCCGTCTCATGGTTGAGATGTAGTGTTTTCTTCCTTGCGTATTCCGGCCTATTCGCCCATCTGATGTTGAAGAGCAGCATGCTCGGTGTATGTCTGGCCAAAAGCAGCTTGCTCAGAAGACCCAACACGACTGTACCGCTGGCGAGTTGTAAACGGTCATGAGCAGTGCATGTCTTGCAGAGGTCGTTGCTGGCCTCTCCGGTATTCTCGCAGCTCGGAATGCGGGTGATAGCCACGGGCAGAAGGTTTGTTCGGCCCCGCGAGAGTGACAATGGAAGGATATTCGAGCGAGAAAGAAAGACAGACAGAGAGGCTTTTGCTACTTTTGTTGCATCGCTCACAACCGGACTGTGGAAGAGCCTCACGCAGACCACGCCGAGCCTCCTTGGCGCCTCGGCCACGGACCTGAGGGGTGCGGGGTGCTTTGACGACAAGAAACCGATTACGCGAACTTGCGCGGGGGGACCCCTAGAGCCTGCGGCAAGCAAGCAAAAGCGAGACAGAGCCAGACAGAAAGAAAGACAACTCCTCTGGCCCTAAGCAAAGGAAGGACAGAAGGAGTAAGAAACAGACAGAGGCCGTGCTGCCGGCTGTAGCATATGCACATGTGTGGCCATGGGTGTGATGGTTGTTGTATTTTCCTGTGCTGCTTACTTGGTTCGAATGGGCCACGAACACATTTGATGCCTAGTCGAGAAGTGGGGGAGAGCCCTGATGGTTTCGTGATGTTGCTTCGTCCTTGATTTGAAGACAAATGTTCAAACCATCTGATTTCGGGGATTCTCCTGTATGATTTGCATGCGCACTCTCTTCTGTTTCTGCCTTTTCCAGAGTGGCAGCTGGATGGGGGTGCCTGGAGCGTGGGGGAAGTTTGCTCCTGCTATCTTATCCCTTGTAGAAGAAATGAAAGAGTCTGGTTCGCCCCTCTTTTGGTGAAAGAAAGCGCAAGAGTGAGAGGGTGTCTCACTGGGCGGCGAAGCGGCGTCCAAACTCGGAAGAAAGAAAGGGTCCCTCAGCTTCTGAGTCAGCAAGTGAGCGAGCGAGTGAGTTCTTGAGTGAGTGAGTGAGTGATTGAGCGGGTGAGACAGAGAGAGAGAGAGAGAGAGAGGGTTGGGGGTTATCAAGAGTTTCCCGACCACAGGCCTCATCGTACACAGGTGTCACACAGAGACCGGGACTGGCAGTGTGCGCTTGTGTGCGGGGGGGAGCGACGGCTCTTCCTTTGTCTGTGTGGAAGAGAAGAGAGAGAGAGAGAGAGAGAGAGAGAGAGACAGAGAGAGAGAGAGAGAGAGTCTCAGACAAGCAGGGCGCGCACGCGCGCGGGAGGGGGGGGGGGCCTGCGCTCTCTCTCTTGACTGTGTGGAAGAAGAGAGAATCTCGGTTTTGTTGAACTTGGTTTGGGGTCGTACCTAAAGGTCTCATTAGCAGCAGCGAGCGCATTGGGAGTTGAGACACTGCTGCGTTCCACGGCCGACTGCAGAGGGCGCTGGGGAGAAGCAACAAACGGCACGGAGGGAGCCAGCAGTGGAACAAGAAAAGGAACAGTCTATGCTGAAGAGCGACAAGAAGAGAAGGGTCAGAAAGCAGCGATGGTATGGAAGACAGTCCTGAAGGCGGTGAACCACCTCATCGCATGTGTTTGGTACGGCCTCGGCAGCTGGACAAGTGGTTTCAAAACTTCTTCCAGCCCTCAAATGTTGCAGTCGATAGGCTTACCCTGCTTCGGGTCACCCATGGTTACCCTCTAGCTCATATGCGAAGATCAGGAACTTCCAATTGTGGCATGTACCTTTGCACCACTTCCTGGCGGTTAGAGCAGGACAGTCGATGGCCGGAGCTGGATCGTGCGGATGGAGATGCAGGAGGACGGTGCTGGGAGTGCAATTCTGGTCGCTGGCTGTGGGTTGGCAAGGATTTAAGGTTTCTGTCTCCTCGCTTGGCTTGGAGATGACAGAAGCAGCCCGATCTGATGGCACTTGCTTGGCCGACTGCCTGCGCTTACAGCATCAGTGGCAAGGCAGATGCCTTGGATTACTACGCCACATCCATACACTGGGTCCGAGCCCTAGAAAATCACTGTGAAGGCATGTGAAGCACATGGTACTGGTACTGTACAAATCTTGGCAGAAATTCTTAATCAGGCCCTGACACAATTCACGCCGGCAACGAACAACGTCGCTCCAGAGAATGCAGTCGAGAGGCTCGGGGCACTGCTGGCAGCACGCCAACTTCTCCAGACTTTCTCACACTCGCTTTGCCTAACAGGTTCTTCGCAATATTTGTGATCTTGTTGGCGATGGGAATGTTCCTTGTCCCTGTCCGCTGCGTACTGTAGGGTTGTCGAAAGTGAGTTGCCATGGTCACTGCAAGCCGAATTTGTGGATGAGTAGACAACAGTTCAGTTTCATTTTTCAGCCTTATTGTAACTGCAAGCTGGTCCCAGTCAAGTTCTTGCAGTCGATTTCCCTGGCATGCTTGCCTTCGAGCTGTTCTTCACTCTGAGGTTCTCCTCCTTCATTAGCTCTCTGACCTCCACGGTGAGTGCATATCGAAACGCGCGGATGGAGCAGCTCTTTGCTTGAATATATGGTCTGCTCCCATCAGCCGCCGATGCCGGAGTTGGTGCCTTCAGAGTCCCATGTGGAATCAAGTGAGCTTCGGAGAGCCCATGTCACGATTTCATGCGAGGTTCCATCAGCACTCCCTGCTCCTCCGATTCTTTACGGAGAGGAATCTGTCGACGGATCTCTATGGCAAGATTCGGGAGGCTGGAACAGGATCGGTCATCAACGGGTTGGCAGCAGGTCAATCGTGACGAAGCCGGCTACGTTGCTGATGTAAAGCTGCGCTTGTCCATGATTGGAGCCTTCTCCCTGAGGTCATCCGGAAAGAGCGGCATACGGGAATCAGGTGCGACGGGATATGACAGGATACACCGATTTGAGCCGCTGAGACATGCTCTGTTAGCCACGACTGCCCATGCCAGGTTGAAGGAGGACGAAGTCCATCTTCTGCAGAAGGCCAAAGTTGTTTTAGTTGCCCACATCACTGTAGGGTTTTTGTTTTCTTAGACGCTATCTGCTCACTCCTTCCCTCCTTCCCTCCCTCCCTCCCTTCCCTCCCTCCTTCCCTACACGCATAGACACAAACACACCACACAACACACACACACACACACACCCCCGCGCGCGCGCGCGCCCACACACACACGGAGATATGGGGTATTTGCTGAGTCG